GATGCAAAGGAATTCAGAAGAGGGTATCTACCTCTGCCAGGTATGTGAAATGGTGGGGAGTGTGAGAAAGGTCTTTGGAAAGAAGGTGATTTTTGAGATGGAATTTGAAGCATTGGCTGAGAGCTTGATAGTATCCTATAATAACCGGTAGTCTCCAAAAAACGGTTTTAAGGTATTTTTTGGTTGGTGGATAATTGTTACACTTCAGCTAGCAGGAATGGAGAATAAAGAGGAGCTATATTTCCTAACCTCAAATTTTACATGTTCAAGGTGCAACTACTGCAACAATAATGATTATCAAATACTTACATACTGAAAAACTGATGTGATAATTAGTATCTTGAAAAGTTAAGTTAGTTATGTCTGTATTATTATATGAGATATGAGTAGATTGTGCTAGACGAGAGATGTGGCCATGTTCTGTATTCACGGAACAGAAAAGGGAAATAGACAAGTAGAGGGCCTTTGAAAGTCCTGGTTACTTTAACTTGTTAAACGCAAGGGGTTTTCTTCCTCTAGAACCTTCCCACTTCCATGGATGAGCTCTCAACGTTAAGGAAAAATTCTATATTGATTGAGAGAGAATGAGAAAGCTGCTGGGAGGAGGAAAGAGGTGGAGTTTTTTTCTTGATTGATGGTTTTATTTGACAAAACTGTGTGTTGTCCAATGTAAGTTTCTTTATCGAATATTCAACTTATAAACATGCTTCTAGTCTGGCAACTAAGAAATGGCAACATTTGTGTTTATGGAGAATATATTCTGCTAAGTGCAGTGAAGCTGAATGTGCCTATTATAGCTACACCGTCCTTTCCAGCTGGGTGGATAACGAGCATTTTCTATGCCCAGGCAAGTTCTATAATTTTCTCCTTGCAAGGGTGGAGAGGGTGTGTCCATCTGATGCACCAGCAGCAGATGAAGAAGGGTGAGGAGTAAGATTAAAGAAGTGTAGGAAGGCCTTGCTGGAGGCTACAGTGCTGGAGTCACTGTTGAGGATGAGAGGAGCAAGAAAGATGGTGCCTCCTGCCCTCTCATTCTCTCCCTCCACCCCCTCCTTCTCTACTCCTTCCTTCCTTTGCATCCATCTCAATCGAAGGGTACAAAGAATTACACCTGATTAAGGATATACACTGATAATTACGTCTCCGACCTCTCTTGTTTACAAAGTTTTCTTCCCTGGAGAAAACTTACCAGTTTTCTCTGGAAACTTCTGGAGGTAGTTTACGCACACGAGACCTGACAAGTTTGCAAACTTGTTCCAATGCTGTTGCTAAACCTTTTTTGATATCAGAGGGATTATTCATTATGAATTTGTAACAGCTGGACAAACAGCTAACCAAGTTTACTATTTGGAAGTGCTGAAAAGGCTGCATGAAAAAGTGAGAAGAAAATGACCTGGACATTTTGCCAACAATTCATGGTTCTTGCATCACAACAATGCACCAGCTCACATGGCACTATCTGTGAGGGAGTTTTTAGCCAGTAAACAAATAACTGTATTGGAACACCCTCCCTACTCACCTGACCTGGCCCCCAATGACTTCTTTCTT